GAGGAAGCAGGATGATCGTGATAGGAAAGAGGAGGGAAAGGAGAGGCAACTCAGTGAATGTTAGGAGCACGACCTTTGTTGTTCTTCTGCCCTCTGACAAGTTCTCAACGTCTCTCCTCCTCCTCCTCCTCCTCCTCCTCCTCCTCCTCCTCTCACTTGCTCTGCTCTGCTTGTCCGATCACCCGGAAGGCCTCCAGCGCCTCCTGGAGCGTCTCGTCGGTCTTGCAGAAGGCGAAACGCTGCGACCTCGTCAAAAATGCTGCCCCTCACCCCCCGCCGCCTCCTCCTCCTCGTCTCCTTATCTTCCTCCCCCTTGCTTCTCGTCCTCGCCCTTCTCGCCCTTGCCCTCGCCTTCGTCCTACTACTACTACTTCACCACCACTACAACCTCTCCCCACCTCTCCTCCTGCTCCTCCTCCTCTTCCATCCTCCTCCTCCTGCCCCTGCTGCTCGTGCTCCTCCTCATACCACGAAGTTGGAAGCAAGGTGGCGGTTCTCCGGGGAGTAGAAGGGGGAGCAGCTGCAGCTGAAGGTCAGCTGGGAACGAGGAGAAGAAAAACAGACGGGATGGAGATGATGCCATGCTCCTTGGCGAGCCAACGGCAGAGAGCCCTAAGGAGAAGATGATCAGGACGAGAGGAGGAGAGGGAGGAGAAGAGGAGGAGAGGGAGGAGAAGAGGGAGCAGGAGCAGGAGCAGGAGCAGGGGCAGGAGCAGGAGGGGTCTGATACCAGTCTCTTGTCATGGTCTTCATAGCAGGGGTGGATTCTTCAAGATATTCCTGCAGGATGATGAGAAAAGAAAAAGGAGGACAGAAAAACACAAGCAGGAGGTGGAGGTGGAGGAGCAGGAAGAGCAAGGGCAGGGGCAGGAGCAGGAGGTGGTGGTGGTGGAGGAGGAGGTGGTGGTGGAGGAGCAGCAATAGTGGATAAGTTGGGGGTGGTACCTGCGGCACTTTGACGTTTCTAGTGTCACCGATAAGAAAGAATCCTCCTTGACCCTGAAGAAATGATGATCATTTCTAGTCCTCCTCCTCCTCCTCCTCCTCCTCCTCAAACCTTCATTGGGATGATGTTGGCTGCTCTCAAAGCTGCCTCGAGCTTCTCCTTCTTCATCGTGTACTGAAACAGTTTTAGCACAACAGAAGGAGGAGGAGAGGGAGCAGGAGGAGGAGCAGGAGGGGCAGGAGGAGCAGGAGGAGGAGCAGGAGGGCGAGAAAAGGCGGGATGGTGCAAATCTCTTGTACCTGCTGCTTCAGCCAATCGTAATAATTTCGTTCTCCTTCATAGGGCTACCAACTCGTTAGGAAGAAAGTAGGGAAAGAAAGAGACGAGGAGGATAGTTGGGGGGAGGGGGGGGGGAGAGAGAGGGAAGAGGGAATGGGTAAGGACGGGGGGGGGATGTAGAAGGAGCAGCAGCAGCAGCAGCAGCAGCAGGATGAGGAGGAGGAGCAGCAGCAGGGGCAGGGGCAGAAGCAGGTGGAGGAGTTGCACCTGATCCGCTTGCTTCAGCACTTGGACCAGCGCGTCTTGCATGGGGGTGGCAGCACAGAACTGAATGAACGGCAGAAGAACCTGAGAAATTGTGAGGGACAATGAGGAGGTAGAGGAAGGGAGAGAGAGGGATGCAGCAGGAGAAAGAGGGAGCACGAGCTGAGAGCAGGAGCAGGAGCGGCAGAAGGAGCAGGAGCAGGAGCAGGAGCATGACAGAGGGGAGAGGAGAGGAGGAGGACCTGGATGTCTCGCAGATATCTGCTCGGTCCGATGATCCAGCCAACCTGAGCACCAGTGAGAGATGACGGGAGAAGAAGATGGAGAGAGAAGAGGAGGGGGGGGAAGAAGGAGCAACAGGAGTAGAAGGATGAAATAGAAATGAAGAAGGAAAAGAGGAGGAGAGGGAGGAGGAGGAGAAGGAGGAGGAGAAGGAGGAGGAGAAGGAGGAGGAATGGAGGAGGAGAAGGAGAAGAAGGAGGAGGAATGGAGGAGGAGAAGGAGAAGAAGGAGGAGGAATGGAGGAGGAGGAGGAGGAGGAGGAGGAAAGGAGTTGCAGGAGAGACGTCCGACCTGCCAGCCTGTCACTGAGAAAGTCTTCCCGGCGCTTGAGATCGTCAAGGTTCTGTCCCACATGCCCGGCAGGCGCGCGAAGTGAACGTGACCCGCCGATCCCAACGTGTCCTGCGACTCCTCGGGGGGCGTGTGGATGATGTACTGGAAAATGATGTGAGAGGAGGAGGAGGGGGAGGAGGAGGAGGAGGAAGAGGAGGGGAGAGAGGAAGGAGAGAGAGGAAAGAGAGCGAGAGGGGAGGAGGAAGGAAAGCAGGACAGAGGAGGAGAAGAAAGAGAAAAGGAAGAGGAGGAAGAGGACGAGGAGGAGCAGAGAGAAGAGTCGTCTAACCTTGTAGACCTCATCAGAAATCACCACGATCCTCTCGTGCTTCCTCACGATCTCCGCCAGCGCCTCCATCTCCGCCAGCGAGAACACCTTCCCCGTCGGGTTGTGCGGCGAGTTGAGGACGATGATCCTTGTCTTCTTGCTCACCTTTTCCTCCACCTTCTTCATGTCTATCTTCCACTCTCCCTCCTCCGTCGGCTCCAGGGGGACGAACACGGGCTTGCCTCCTGCGAGGAGGATCTGACCCATGTAGAGGTCGAAGAAGGGCTCCATGAGCAGCACCTCGTCTCCCTGCTCCAGCAGGCTCTGCAGACTCACGTACAGCGCCTGGCTCGCACCCACCGTCACCGCCACCTCCGTCTCTGCCCGCACTTCGCGCTCCAGGTGCATGCGGTAGCGGGCAGCCAGCGTGCGGGCGAGCGGGAGGTGCCCTGCCGTCCTCGTGTACTGGTTCGTCCCCTTCATGATCGCCTCCACTGCTGCGTCCCGCACGAAGGAAGGAGGGGACCAGTCGGGGAACCCTTGCCCCAAGTTCACGCACTTCCTCTGACTCGCCAGCGCTCCGAACTCGCTCCACACTGTCGGCCCGTCCCTCCCTTGCAGCTTCCTGCTTATCACGCTCTGCTGCCCAGCTGGAGGGGAGGGGGCGGGAGCGGGAGCGGGAGGAGCAGGAGCAGCGTCCTCTGCTTCAGAGCTCCGGATCTTGTCTAGCAGCATGAGCGCTCCCTCCCTCCTCAGACGCTTCTCCGTCTCTGAAAGCTCCAGCAGCTCAGCCTCAAGCTCCTGCATCACAACGCTCGAGTCCTCCACGACGCATCCTCCGTCGAAGCACACTTGGTCGGTCCCTACCAGGTCCTCTCCTGCTCCTCCTCCCTGCGTGCTCCTCCTCACCGCTAGAGCCCGGGAGGCAAGTGGAGCCAGGGGGCATGTCCGAGGGCAGGAGGGAAGGACGAAGGAGCGAGTAGGGGCGATGGAGGGGAGGGAAGGAGGTAGCTTTCCTTGAAGTGGAGCGGAAGGGAGAAACCCTGAAGCTACCACGAAGCACATGAAGAAAGGAAGCGCTCGATACATCTCTGCTGATGGCCGCGCTCCCCTCCTCCGTCTGCAAAGCAAACATAAGTCACGCGGAGGGGACTTGAGCTTCATGGCAGCTACAAGATGAAAGTAGAGACTATCATCATAGTCCATAGATAGTCTAGAATGGATCAGAATCGAATCTTTCGTTCTTGCTGCTCTTGTACCTTTTGCTTCTCATGCTTTCACCAGGAGTCCATACCATTCATCGAGATGCTATTTCTATCCCGTGATATCTGGAGTTCCTATTGTCCTCTTGCTCTTACGTTCATCTTCTCCATGCGTTTGTTTGCCGTTCATCTGTCCCCACCTTACTTTCTTTCGCACTCCCGTTTTCGTCTTCTTCCCGTCCTCCTATTCTTTTTCGATTTGTTTTCTCTCTCCATGTATTGGCTCTATCCTTATACCCTCCTCTCTCTCCTCTCTCCTCGTCTGCCATCTTTCTCCCTCTGCTCTGCCCTGCTCTTCCCTCCCCTCCCCATTCCTTATATAATCCCTGCCACACAAGCCATAATCCTTTATATGCGAAGGAGGAGGGGTAGGGGTGATAGCTCAAGGGGTGGTGGGTTTAGGGTTTAGGTATGTAGTGATGACTCAAGGGTGGGGTAGTAATAAGAAGAATGAGGGGTAAGGGTATTGTAAAAGGGGGTTGGGTACTGTTTGAAGTAGGGTGGCTCCATATAAGAAGACAACGGGAGGGGGGTGGAGAACAGCCGTGCTGGGTCAGCCCTAGCCCAGGGGGTAGGGTTCTTGGGGTGGGTGCTGATGGAGGGACATGGTGGGGTGGGGTGGGGTATTAGAAGGTCTCTGAAGGGGTGGGGTAGTGTAAGGACGGATCGCAATGGGTTTCTGTGAGCTGCGGACAGAGGTCGACAATGACAGCGAATTCTCGAAGAGAAGACAAGTGAGATGAGAGAAGAGAGGAGAGAGAAGAGAGGAGGGGAGAGGAGAGGAGAGGAGAGGAGAGGAGAGGAGAGGAGAGGAGAGGAGAGGAGGAGGAGAGGAGGAGGAGAGGAGAGGAGAGGAGAGGAGAGGCGAGGCTGGGTGGGGAGGGGAGGGGTCGGTCGGTCGGTCGGTCGGTCGGTCGGTCGGTCGGTCGTTTTCTTCAACGCTCGCACGTGGACTTATGCTGTTGTGTCGCGAAGGTTGAGCTTGCGAGGTTCTTGCTGCGGCTGGGATACGACACGGTCGCTTTCAACGTCTCGGCGACTGGTCTCCTCAAGCCCCATCACAGGTAGTCAGGGGGTTCCAACCATGTGTGACCAGCAGCGTCTCTGGCAGATGTCAGATCTCAATCTGCGACATGAAAGACATTCTTTCTCCTCAAGACGCCTCCAACCCTCCCCTGCGGGTTGACTCCCGCCCTGTCATGCAGCAGCTGCTCCGGATGACTGTGAGATGCTCCTCCTCCTGCTGCTCCTGCTCCTCCTGCTGCTCCTGCTCCTGCTCCTCCTCTCCGTCCTCCTGCTGCTGCTGCTGCTGCTCCACCTCCTCCATCTTCTGTCAACTTCTTCCTTCTCCTCTCCATCCTGGTTGAGCCTGTGCTGGTGCAGGTGACGGTCGACGACATTTCTCACCTCCACATGGTAGACGTATCGAACGAGATCGCGTCAGGGTATCACCTTCTCGCCGTTTGTCCTCTCACGGACAAGGTCTTCGAGCAGTGAGTACCGTCGCCTCCTTGCTCTCTGTTCGTTTCCTTCTGCTCCTTCTGCTCCTTCTCCTGCACCTTCTGCTCCTGCACCTGCACCTGCACCTGCTCCTCCTTCTCTTTCTTCTTCTCCTTCTCTTCTGCCTCCTCCTCACCTCATCTCGCAGGTGCTGCAAGTTCTCCAAGGTTGACATCATCTCCCTCGACCTTGCCAACCGACTCGCGTTCCCTATCAAGGTGAGGAGGAGGAGGAGGAGGAGGACAGGGAGGAGGACAGGGAGGAGGACAGGGAGGAGGACAGGGAGGAGGAGGAAGATAGGCTCCATGTCGTTGCCTGACTCTCATCCCGAGGCCTCGCTGGTGAACCAGGCGATCGATCGCGGAGTCTTCTTCGAGATCACGTGCGGGCAGGTGGAGGAGGTCTGGGGGCCTGACGGGGCCGCAGCTACGGGCCTTGCCTCAGGGACGCGGGGGCTCGCCGTCAGCTCTTCTCTAACGCCATGGAGCTGGTGAGAGCAACGCGAGGTGACAACGTCCAGCTGCTTTGCAGCTGTGTGAGGCGCTTCTCAGGTCGAAACCTCATCATCTCCAGTCAAGCCGAACGCGCCATGGAGGTGACGAACTCGCGGCTGCTCGTTGGTGGTCACGGAGCTGCAGTTGAGGTCGCCGCACGACGTGATCAGCATGTCGGAGATGCTCGGGCTGGGTCAAGGAGGACGAGGGAAACTCTGTCTTGACGCGAACGCGAGCAAGGTCAGCCTCCCTTCTGCAGCTCCTGCCTGAACCTCGAGGCAGCTGCTGGCACAGGCGAGGAAGAGGAGACGAAAGAGCGGGCATGCCACCGTCACTTCGACCTCCAAGGTGAGACTTGAGGATCGCGCCGACCTCACTGGAGGGCCCCAGGTGGACCCGCGGGAACGATGGTCGATACCAGGAGGAGGAGAGGAAGAGAGAGCGCGGGGAGGAGGCGAGAAGCAAGACTTCATCTCCCTTGCTCTCGAAAGCGATGAGAGTGACTCGGACAAGGTGGAGGGCAACGAAGAGGAGCTGGAGGCAGCAAACGTACCAGAGCAGACGGCCGAGAGCACCGTAGAGGAGAAGGGGGAAGGCACAGACAAGGGGAGGACAGAGGAGAAGAGCTCGAGTCTTTCGCAGGAAAAGATGGAGATTTCTCCTGCGGTGAAGGCGTCGGACCGCAAGCGGCCGTTGGAGCAGTCAACAGGAGGAGGCCCGAAGAAAGACAAGAAGAAGAGGAGGTGATGAAGCTTTATGCACAACCTTCTCCTCCTTCTCCTTCTCCTCCCGCTACTTAAGAGTTGTCACCAGCATCCCTCACTCAAGTACAATGAATCCATCTCCTACCTGTTCTTCTTGCTACTCGCTTCTTCTTTCCTCGCCTCTTCCCTCGCCTCCCTCGCCTCCTCCTCTTCTATCCTCCTCACGTACAGCTTGGCTAGAAACCTGTTGCGCATGAAGCACCATACCGTCATCGTCGACCCCAGCAGCACCCCAACTCCTAGCGCCACCGCCCGCATCGCCACCTCCTCCAGGTCTGGCCCTACCGCCATGGCTACCGTACCGGGCCAACCTCGGTCCTCATCCCCACACTTACAATATTTTTTACCCCCCCAAGGACCCAAAAACCACCCACCCTTTCATCTTGTAACAGCCCCCCTCTTCCCCTCCCTCCCGCTTTGATTGACAACCCAGTTGACAACCTGAAGGAAGCCTCGTCAGCCTCCTGCTCCTGCTGCTGCTGCTGCTGCTGCTTCTGCCCCTGCCCCTGCCCCCGCCCCTGCCCCTGCTCCTGCCCCCGCCCCTGCTCTTGTCTCGTGTTACAGTGTTCAAAAGCAGTCGTTTCAAATATCGGCTCGGAATTGTTTTCGCCTCATCGCTGCGCATCATCTACTTGGCCGTGTCTTCCTGCTCAGCTCGCTGGTTCTTTCACAGTTTTGAGTTGAAGGTCCACTCACCTCCATCATCCTCCCAGCTTCTTCTCTCTACTTGTCACTCGCAGCCGTCGCGTCTCTTGGATGCTAGCGAGGGTCTAACCTTAGCATTGAAGGCTTTCAATCGGATCAGGGGAGCTGACCCGTCATGTGCTGCTTTGTGTCCAAGTTCAACAGCTTATCTCTCCTCCTCCTCATCGTCGGAGCGTTGGCGTTTGCTCTCTTCGCCGAGATGAGGGTACAAGGGAGACGGCAGGCGAGGTTCAAGGCGTTGGGGCATGCAGCGGGTAGGCAAGTGGCATCCAACATCACTCATCAGGGGATGGTGGCCGACAGGCTAGTGAAGCAGGAGGGGGATGGGAGCAACACATAGGAGGAGGATACACAGCGAGGAACGTTCCTTAACAGATCTCGTAAAAGCAGATGTTCAACGTTAGAGCCTCTTTCTTGCCTTTGACTTCTTTTGTCTCACCATCGAGTGCTGGCGCTTCAAGTTACTTGCTCTTCGCTGACACATCGCTGCCATCAGAGAAAATTTTCTTCATGTCCTCAAGGGCACGGAGAATGTGGTCTCGAAAGCGCGCGCTGCTTGTTGCGGTAGAGCTCTTCTTGCTGCTGATGTTGGCATAGATCGCATCATCGTGAGCGAACATGTAGCTAACGCCATAACCATCGTCCGCCACCGGCCCGAAGCCGCCGCCAGCCGAGACCGCATGACGGTCTTCACGATCGGGATTCCATCGACCTTCAGTCTGCTTCTGAGGAGTCTGAGAGGTGGAGAGTGTCCAAGGCATCTTGAGAGCAGCCTTGAGGAACTCCGAGTCATACCCCAGCCCGACAGACGCCACATACAAGCCGAAGAGGTGCCGGTCCACTCCCTTGCCTACCATGGCGCTCTTGTAGAGCTGCGTGTGCTTGTCAGCAGCCTGCATCAGTTTCTTCACTCTCTCCACATTCGAGCACGACTCGTCCATCATGGAGTCCACGAAAGCAGCGGATTCGATGGAAAGAGAGCGAACTGTCTCTGTTCTACCCTGAGCGAAGAGCCGAGTTACGCTTGCCTCGTATGTAAGGGCTCGTTTGCCGGCATCCCTGCGGTAAGCGAGTTGCATGGCCAACTGGAAGAACGCGTCAGGAGAGATGTGCTTCTTCTTGATGAAGCCCTTCCCCCAAGTGTCTTGAGTCATGACCACCAGATCCAAGTCATCGCAGAGCTGCTTGTTGGCTACGTATGCCTCGTTGATCACCTTGTGGAGCTGAGCATCTACCCGCCATTGGAGCCTCTGCGGCTTTGTGAGGTCAACCTGCTCGTACTTGCTGTCTTCAAACCCCTTGCAGTGACCGTCATCGCGATAGAGGCCGCCCTTGTACCTTTCCTCTGTGGTTACCCATTCCCACATGTGCCCGACTGTGAGAGCATCGGCGTAGCTGTGCTCTGCCATCATTCCGGATTTGCCATTGGGAAAGATGATGAATGTAACCGACTTGTCAAACCACAACGATTTGCCATCACCATGGATCAGCATCTTCGCTTGATTGGTCAGATCAGTGGGGGATCGATCTTCGAGATGAATGTGCATGAAAGCTTTCTCGACAGTTTCCAAGGAAAGCTTGTTGATGCCATCCCAGAAAAACTCCTCTCTGGCTTCTGCCCACCTTCCTCTGTGCCACCCAGTCAGAGCAGCAATTGCATTTTGACCTTCAGGCGCCGGGGTGGAATCAGAGTCCATGATGATCCAATTCATCTGCTTCTCCAGCTCATGGGGCAGAGCAGTCCTCCACTTGCCGTTGGTGCCCTTCACTTGCATGGGCAACTTGTACCACACTCCCTTGCGGGACACTGCGCAGTATCTCTGAGGATCGTGATCGTAATGAATGATATGGTCGCATTCTTTGCCTGGGACTCTCGTGGTGTCAAAAACTCTCTCGTATTGTTTCATGCACCAAGGAATGGTCTTCTGGAGCCTGATTGGGTCCAGCTTTTCCCAGTCAATCAGAAACTTGAACTTGTCTGCCGCGTGCAACAAAGCAGCTGCGCGTGCCGCTTGCAAATGCGTCGGTGTAAAAGCTACTCCGTCCAAGATGTAATAATTCGAGTTGACCATAATCGGCGACCTTCCACGGAGGTAAACATACTTCTCCCACCATTCCCAAAGCCAAGACACCGTGAACATTGCTCTAACTTGCAAGAAAAGCTGTAGTAGAAAGTATCAGATCAAGCACTTGAACAGATTGCAATAGCCACCTGTAGTTTCCAGCCTTCATTTTTCATGAACTTCTGCATCTTCTCTTCCATGTCATTGTATTCCTCTTGCGACAGGAGCGGCTTGACAGACAGCATGAAGTTTCTGGTTGTTTCTTTTAAGCAAGGCACAGGCAGTGAAGGCAAGCAGCCCTGATACGTGTAGAGCGATGGCTGTGTCCCTGAAAGCGCCCTCACTGCAATGAACCACAGTTTCATCATCGGGCTCGGTTTCGACCCATGGTCAAGGAACATCCAGCCTTTGTAGTTGAGGAGCAGCCGCAGCAAGGACCTCTGTACGAAAGAGATGCCTGCCAGGCCGACAGTGCCTGCGAGCAATGACAGCCAGCCGACACGAACTTGAGTTGGCAGCTTCTGTTGCCATGGGAAAAGATTGTCCCATTTCCACAGGATGTTTGCCAGCGAGCCACTCCTCCACCACGAGCCGCTCTTGGCAGTGACAACCCTCACAATTACAGCCGTGGTGACCCCGCCCCATATGGTGGGGGTCAGAGGCCAGATGGTGTTCTGTATCACCCGCCTGATCCGGAAGATGGTCCTTTTGATATGCTTCCTGAAGCGGTAAGGGTTGAAGCTGATGGTGAGGGAGTACGTTCCGTCCTCGGTAGCAACCAAGGCGACATCTCCACGCACGGAGAGCAGTGCTGCATCAAGGCGGGCACCGGCGGCTGCTTCTGCCATCCCTTCCTAGCCACGAATGTCCTGCAAAACAGTCAGAATGTCAAGCAAATGAGGACCGCATGTTGCTGCATCAAAAACAACTAGGCATCGTACACCATTTCTCGAAATCTCTTGTTCCCCTTTAGATCTCCAACAGAATTTCATTTCTGTCGAATCTCAGCAACAAAGGCTCGAGTTCCTTTCACAGCACTCAGGTGTTCGCATCCGGTCCTCACTCTTGCCCATCCTCCTCCTTTCTCCCGGCTGGCACTACAACTATCCTTTCTTGATCTGCTTGACGTGACTACAGCCCCTCCCTCTCTCCCTCCCTTCCTGCTTCTTTGCCTCAATCCCGTACTCTTGGCAACGAGCCGGATCTCAGATCAACCTCACTCAGTTCCACATGGGTTGGATGCATATTCATACGCAACGAAGAGATCTCTTGCACTGCTCACGTCCCAATCTCAGTCCTTCCCTCTTTTCTGCCCCTCCTCCCTCCTTATTTCCTCCTCCTCCTCTTCCTCTCCCGCGCCTGCTCTTCATTTCCCTCGCATTCCTCCGAAGCGCCTTAACCACCCCACCCTCTTTTCCAACTGAATAGCAGAACCCACCTCCTAATCATATTTTGCACCCCCTTGGTTACAGAGTATGACCCCTACCCTTTGCTATGTTCCACGAGATTTATGACCCCCTACCCCCATTCAACAAAACCACCCCCTAAATCTGCCATCATCATGATTCGCTGGGATCGTACCCCTCAGATACTCCCTACACCGGTACATTTAACTGTAATTTAGGCTCATAATAACCCCTTTAAAGTACCACCTACCCCTCTGTAATCACCACCCATACATTCAGACACTACCCCACAGGACAGAAAATTTAAGTCCCCACTTGCTCTGTCACACATGATGACCACCCCCTGTATTCTGATTCCCTACCCCACCTCCCCGAAATTGCTACCACCACCACCTACCGTTTACTCACCCCGACCCCCCTATCTCCTAGTGTTACGCCCAGTCCGTAGACTAATAAAACTTATTATTGCATATATTCATTTATAATATCCAATTTTAAACAGACCCCCTCCTCAACTGTACCACCCCTGTATATAATACCTATGAATACAATAACCCACCACAAAGTCTGATTTTCAATATGTCTAGTACCGGTGTACCGAGAACCCTGTCAGATACAGAAAGTACCAACAAGACCTTCCATTATATTTTAAAAATTTACAAGTAATTTAAATGTCGACTCTCTAATATTGAGGGGCAGAGCCTAGAACTTTGCAAGTTTTGTTGCCGAAACAATTCAAATACTGTGTTTTTATTTCAACACCAATCACAAATATATGGCGAAGGCTCTAAATATTTCGCACTACCCAAGATGGACCCTATTCCCCCAGCCATCTACTACCCGTCATAGTCTCTGAATGGCAGAGGAGGAATCCGGGGTGGGTGTGTTACCAAAGCCTTTTAAAAATATTTTAAGAGTGGGGGTCTTTTAAATTGGTTTTAAAGGGTGTCTGCTGGGGTCATCAGTGTCAATCCGGCAAACCTTCAATAAATTTTCCTGTATCCGGACGGTCACTGAAAGTTACCGTCCGGGAGCCTCAGTCCACTGACTGTCCCGGCGGCGGGCCGCCGCGGTGATTCACGGTCCCGGCCGAGTCCCGGCGTGCCACGAGCGGCGCGCCTGAGGTCACCTAGCCTTGAAGTTAGTACGGCCGGCCAGGCTACTGCCTCGGCGAGGCTAGCAAGCCGCCAGTGAGCGGCCGCACTGAGGCCGGGCGGCCCGCCGCCCGGCCGCCCGGACTCTGACGGTCGGCGGCAGTGCCCTGCGGCCCGTCACCGTGGCACGGAGGCACTGAAACTTCGAAACTCGGACGTAGAATCACTGGCTAAGAGGCTGGCGGGCATCATGCTTCAGGATTGAAGTAGTGACTCACAAGCGGCGGCCGCGGCAGGCTACAGTCGGGACTGAGCCTGCCGCCGTGGCAACCAGGGGGAATCATCGGATGACACCGTGACTGGCAGCCATCTGTGGGGATCGGATCGGTCAAGAGAGAGGCACCGAGAGACTCAGGAGACTGCTGTAAGTCATGCGGAGCATTCATGTAGTCCACACGTCTTGATGGTATCTGCCCTCTTTCGCAAGGTCTTCCAGGAAGGCCTCAGCTCCATTCCCTGCGCGCAGAGTCACCTGGGAGAGCGGGACGTTCCAGCAGCTCTCCGTCTCCCTCACCTTTCATCCTCCTCAAGAAGATCAGCGACTGGCAAAGAACGCGCTTCACATCCCGCGCCATCGCCGTGCTGGAGCATCAGGTCAGACGCGCCCTCGGGCACGAGATGGATGCGCACACAGACCTGCCACAGACGTAGATGCAGGCACCAGCATCCAGCAGGGACAAAAGCTGGATTGCGTTCTCATCCACTCTCTGCTGGACGTATACCTTGCCCCCACCGAGCGTGTCGTTGCTCCTGCTGAATGCTGTATGTACACGGCTGAGAGTCCCGTTCTCCAGCCACCCTCCTATCTCCTCCTCGTACAAGTAGTCCTCGGTCGGTCGACGACATCCAAAGAATAGCAGATTCTTGCCGATCGGAGCTAGCATGCGCTTCCTATGCTCCAACTCCTGGCACATCCCCCGCAATGGCGCGATCCCTGTCCCCGCGCCGACAAGGATCACCGGGGTCGAGACCTCCCTTGGGAGCTTGAAGTTTGTCTTCCGCAGATGAGCTCGGACGATGTCTCCCTGGTGCAGGCGCCTGAGGTAGCTCGTGCAGACCCCATGGAAGGACCTTCCGTCTTGATATTTCTTCTCCACGACCACTGCAGTGACGTGGACACACCGAGGATGCACGAGATTGGAGGAAGAGATGGAGTAGTACCGCGATTGCAGGCGAGGAACCAGCTCCACCAGGCACTCCAGCGAAGGCTGCACTGATGGAAAGTCGTTCAAGAGATCCAGAAGATTGCGAGTCTCCAACACAACATACTGGTGATACAAATCCTGTCCCTCCTTTGAAGCTAGCTTCAACAATCGCTCTCTTTCCGATCCGTCACGTGCAAACTCAGCAAGAGCCACCAGGAAACTCTTCCGCGGGAGTGAGTTGATGTCAAGATACCTTGCAAAGGCTTCCTCTACTGTACAAGGGCATGGGAAGGGAGAAAAGCCATCCGAGTCTTTCACCGTGATGTACAAGGACAAATCCACCTGTAGCCGAGCCGCAAGTGCCTTCACCATGCTCATGTCGTTTTCAGGGAAGATAGCTAGGTGGTCCCCGGTCTCATACCCCACAGCGGGAGCCAAGATGTCAAACTCCACGTGGCGGCAAGATCGTTCTCCTCCCTTGTTCAGCTCCCGGTTCTCCCTCACCCTCAGCGTCTCCACATGCACGGCATCCAGCGCGTTGGATGACTGGAAGCTGCAACCGTTGGTCGCAGGCTTCGTGTATCCATGAGCCTTCACCTGCATCTTGTACTGGACTCCCTCATCCATCCACTGTTGGCTTGATTGCTCCAGCCCTAGATGCTCTGAAAGGGCTGGCCACAGTTTCTTCACCCAGTCTTCGAAATCCTCTCGGATGTTCTTGTCATCATCCCCTAGACCGAGTTTCAGCATTCTCTTCCCTCCCTCCCTCTCGAATGTCGAGTCCAGCAGCTTTCCAAAAGCGTTGTAATGCTCATATTGCGTGTTTCCCAACCCAAAGACAGCATACTGCATCCCCGAGCAGGAATTGCCCCCACTCCTTTCCAGCAGCCAGTGGTAAAATTGTTTCGCATTGTCCGTAGGTTCTCCTTCCCCGTAGGTAGCGACAAGAAAGATCCCGAAGGAACCAGGGAAGCGAGAGGCGTCGAACTTCTCAAGATCGACCAGCTTCATGTTCATCCTCTGCTTCCTGCCCTCCTTCACTATGATCTTAGCAAACTCCTCAGCTGTTCCAGTCTGACTACCGAAGTGCACCCAGATGACGGGCCCGGTCAGCTCACTCGAAGCAGTCCTGCTCGGAGGTTCGACTACTCCTTTCATCACCTTGGTTTTAGGCTTTGCCTTGCCAAGAGTGAACGTGGCTAGGCTGGTAGCTGACTTGCTCTTCTTCCGGAATATGTACAGGATCATAGCCATAGCAAGGCTCCCCCCAGCCAAGAAAGCAGCTGAGCTTAATGGCTTGTTGTAGATCATCATGCTTGGATCGAGGAGACAAGATGCTGCCCTGCGGGCGCACTACTCAAAGCACAACTCGAAGTTAAAAAAAACTCTGTTTCCTCCACAATCACTGGCAAGGGCAAGAGAAGAAGAGACGCAGGAGCGGTAGAAGGAGTAAAGACTAGGGTTAAGCTCTCTTCTCGTTCTTCTTCTCAGCTATCCCAAGCTGCATCGCCCTCGTCTCCTCCGCGCAAGCCTTCTCTAAGCAGCAGCATACAACCATGCACAACCGTTCTTGGGTGGGGTAGTAAACTAGACGGAGGGAGGGGTAGACAAGCACAAGGGATCTTGGGAAGGGTGGGTGGTTCGGTGTGACCGGTGGAGTAACAGGAGGGGTACGGGTGAGAGCCATGTATTTGTTTTCGGGGGTACTCGAAGGTGATCGAAGGGAAGAGATCTGGAGTTACGGACTTTGTGAAATGCAGGGGTGGATACCCCACCCCAGAATTTAGCTCTTAATTCACTAATGTGGAAAGAAATGCCTTATAGGATAGGGTAGGGGTGATTAACGGAGGGGTACCAGGGTCATGCTTGAGATCTAAAAACGGATAGTAGAGCTCTGTATCATTATTACCACATATCTTTTACTACCAGCAATCAGGCCACCCCCTACCCCTAGTTTGAATTACCCACCCTCCCCTTTGACTCTTTTTTACCCCGACCCACCTGGAGCATTGCACGCACACCCGACCACCCTACCCCTGTTTCCTTCACCCTCGTGCTTGCTGACCATAATATCCTGTATAAACCACCCCTACCCCCACGTCAGGGCTTCCGGAGGACCCGGCCCGTGACTCGGGAACATGTCTATTATTATTATTATGCCGTACAGTCAATGTCTTTGAGTCGCAAGGTGACCGGGCCGCGACCGGGCCGGGCCTGCCGGGCCTGGCGGAAGTTGACCCGGTGCGGCACTTCAGTCGATCTGCCTCAGAGATAGGGGAGGATTAGCAAGGGGTACTCTATGACCACATGTGAATGGACGGGTGCTTGTCCCTGAGAATTCCTGGGCCAAGTACCGGATAAAAGATGACCCTACCTCGTCAACTCCACTCATGTACCCTGATACATTGCAAAAGGACCCCTAGTCCCTTAACCCTCACATGATCAGAAAAGTTTTCTTCATACCCCTACAAAATATGTCATATGTACCGGTGTAATAACTACCTACCCATGGACGCGAAGCCACCCTACCCCCTAAATACTAGGAGATTTTTTTTTCCCTCAAGCTCGCGTGCGGCAGGCGATCAGCATGCAGCGTAACAACCAGGACAGCGTGCAGACCTTTGGGAAGAAGGTGAGACGATGAGTGATGGAGAGATGATGTTGAGAGGATGAAGTGATGACCACAAAGATGATGACGCATGAGGAGAGAGGATGATATGGCTCAAAGGAATATGAAAGTTGTCATGATGAACATGTTCTCCACGGTACTGTGAGGAAAATCATAGGTTGTGTGGTGTATTCATTCAAAAAAAGGAGGAATGGTGTGCATGTGTTTTGATTTCATAGAGTTTGTTACCCATTGTACTGTTGAGTGGATGAAGTGCTTTTATTGAGAAAGAGAGATGAGTGAGGAATGCCTCGTGATCTTGTGTTGTTCACCCTTGGTTCTATGTTTGAGCACGACAGACTGCATTGGTTGAGATGTTCGTCTTCATTTTTTCGTGTTTGTCACGTCAATTCTCCGATGATTGAATACTTCGTGGAGAAATAGCGAAGATGGCAGATGTGCTCGAGAGGCACCTGGCCTGGCAGAGTGTGCCCTCGAGGCTTGTCTTGACACCTCCGTGCTTTGTGATTACCTTTCAATGATTTTGAACTTGGTGACCAATTACCCGTATCCCACCTTCTTGTTTGATTTGTGGGATTGCCTCTCGAGATGTATGTTCTGTCAAACCTTACCTGTCCCTTGGAATGGCAATCACACGGTGAACACTTGGTTGTTCATCTGCGATGGTTGAAACATGTTCCATTCACTGGAGTTGTTTTGGCACTGGCTTTTGTGTTAGCTCTTCGGAGCTCGAATTCATTCTTCAAAAATGATCTGTCTGAGCGATAGAGATCCATCTTTGGTCGTGGGTACTTGATGACGTAGCTTGGGCTTATGACGAACCATTCCAGTTCGATTTCTGATTATTTGTGACCAGAAAAATGCTATTGCTGTCGCTCACTGCAAGAGGGGCAAGGGGATTCTCAAGGTGAACGGAAATCCCGTCCACCTTTTGCTCCCGGACTCCCTCCGCAGCAAGGTGATGGAGCCCGTCCTCTTGGTTGGTTCGGACAAATTTAAGGAAGTCGACATCCGCGTCAAGGTCCGCGGAGGTGGTAACACCTCGCAGATCTACGGTGAAGCTCGTCTCTCGTGGTGTGAGTGATGTGACTGGATTTGCTCGCAGCTATCCGACAAGCCATCGCTAAGGCCATTGTTGCCTTCCACCAGAAGTATGTTGACGAGCAGAGCAAGAGAGAGATCAAGGATACCCTTGTTCAGTTCGACCGCTCCCTCCTCGTCGCTGATCCTCGTCGCTGCGAGGTTCACTAGCTTTACTGCATGTTGTCTCGTACTCACTTTGTTTTGTCATCACAGCCCAAGAAGTTTGGTGGTCGTGGTGCCCGCGCTCGTTTCCAGAAATCTTACCGATAGACATTCTGTTGTTGGCTCAATAAAGATCTCCAAAAGAATTTCTACACTCTTTCGTTACCGAAACCCAGCCGCTTGGACAGGAATCAAAGACAGGCCGTGTGTCCGGCCGTCAAACAGTCAGCGGCTGAGTAGGCCATACCGGGCCCGGGGACCGTTCGGGCCGGGCCCGGGCCGTTGGACTGCCCAGCCAAACTGAAAATCTGGGGGAAAAGGAAAGACGTGTTGAGCACCTGGGGGAATGAACAGGAACACAGGGGTGGGTGGTATCGAGGGAATACATGGGGTGGGTCCATTTGATGGTCGCACCACCGGGCGGGAGCAAGGGGTCATGTCGTAATTTGGAAACAGTAAGGGGTACTGGAGGACTAGGGTAGGGTATCACCGGTGGTCATGGGCCTGCCTAGGGGTAAACTTGACCTGTTGTTCGTGAATGTTTATGGGGTGGGGTGAACGGCACTCCACTTCACTGAGTGGTTCATTTTTTGGGGGTGGGTGGGTGGAAGTCGGAAACCAGGTCTGACAGCATGGGGTTGGGTAGTCAACCCAGGGTTCACAGAAGTGGAGCCGTCAAGGGTACAAATTGAGCATATAGAAAAATATTGACAATACCAAGAGTTTTATGTCATCTCATCTGCCTTCATCTGGGAGAGTTATAGTTTAATTGTCATAATATATTCAATCTCTGTGACATGAACAATATTTTATAGCGAGATATGTTGCACGCACTTGAGCTCGCAGCCGGGTGGGTGGGTGGATGGATAAATATGATGACCAAGGAACAGGGCGGTGAAAAATTCAGACATGGCGGACGTTGAGGGGAGGGGGAGAGGAGGAGGAGGAGGAGTGAGCAAGTGAATGTCAAGAGGTGATAGTGAGACTCGGGTGTGAACGAGAGCACCGTGAGTCACTGAGTTGAGCATCTAGCCTGCATTCTGGCACGCCGTTGTCAGGCTAAGCGCCGTCAAGGGGACTGGCATTGGTTGGAGTGTCTTTCCACCTGCTCAGTTCATGCACATAACTCTGTGCAAAAGAGACGACTTCAGAAGAGCCAAGAGATTGAGCAAGTCTCAGTGGTCTTGAGAGGAACTTCGACATGGTCAACGAGGGCCATCGGTCGGTGTCTAACAACGACCGACATGAACAGACAGTACACATGTCGCTGTCATCGAGACTCAAGACCTTCTCGCACTGGCCGCATCATTACGTGTCACCCAACCCCCTTCAGCTGGCCAAGGCAGGCTTTTACAGGAGGGGAGGGGAGGAGGATGACGCGGTCACTTGCTTCTCGTGCATGGTGGAGGTGCGATCCTGGAGGGAGGGAGATGACCCCATGAAGCTCCATGAAGAGAAGTCGCCCGGGTGTGACTTCGTGAGAAATGAGAGGAAATGGCAGAGGAGGATGCTGGTTGCCATTCACGGAGGAGCGGACAACTCGACGCAGGCGTCCAACCGCCTGGCGACTTCAACGTCTGGCAACGATGTCAGCCTTAGCGTTCATTATCGTCATCATCATCAGGGGGATCCCGGCCGTTCTCGTCGAACCCATCCTCACACCTCGGAAGGCTTCCCGCACCTCCACCATGATGGGAGCGGAATGATGGTACAAGACCCGAAGAAGCTCAAGTCGCGCAAGTCTCACAAGGTCCGGCATCGCTTCGGGCGAACTCCTTCAGTTCCTGATGACTCGCCTGCGAAACTTCCCGTGCTCCTGTCTCGAGCCAGCCTTGATGATCCCACGGACGAAGATGCTCCCACAGGGGACCTGCGGCACCAGTCCGAGGAAACCAGGTCAAGCCATGAAGGAGCAGGGGATGGGGTGGACGGGGAGCCGCTGGGGGCGGGTGAGGAAGAGAAGTGCCGCGGAAAGCTTGAGATCATGATCATGTCCGCACGGAACCTACCCAAGATGGACGCGTTCGGGACCTGCGATGGTTTCTGCACCATAGTGTTCCAGGGGTCGACCAAGGAGACGTCGGTCAGGCCGAGGTCGTACTTCCCTGAGTGGAACGAGTCCTTCTCATACTTGGTCGACAACACGTTGGACCCTGGCAAGCTCCTCATATCGGTCTTCGATCATGACAGGATCGGCAGTCCTGAGATCATCGGGTACGTGGCTCTCGACGAGGCTGAGCTATCGGCGGTGTTCAACGGACTCTGCGGGAAGCGAAATGTCATGACGTATAAGATTAAGAGTAAGCAGGGGAAGGTCGTGCTGGGGGCCAACGGGGAGGAGGCGGAGTTGAAGGTAGAGCTGATGTTCTTCAAGTACTTCTCGATGGAGAAGCGGGTCGATGAGATGGAGGGGAAGATCAGGAGGGCAGAATCGTTGAACCGCGAGCTGGCTGAAAAGTACATGCTGGACAGAAGGGCGGAGCTGATGGCGAGGGAAGGACTGAGGCAGGTGATGGGAGTGTTGAAAAACTTGTGCGAGTGCACAGAGTTCGTGTTGGCGGAGCTGTGGCATGCGAACAACGGTGAGCTGTCGGAGGACAGCGGGATGGAGTTGGGAACCCACCTGGTGTACGAAGGAGAGCACTACATCCAGCCATCCTTCTTCGACCTCAACCCTCAGGACAGGCAGTCGCAGAGCTGTGCGAAGCAGGTGAGTGGTTGGGCACGTTGTGGGCCCGTGCTGACTCACGAGGCTCGACGTCCAGGGGTTCGAGAAGCTGCAAGAGCTGCACAGGTCAACCCGGCTAAGAGTCGGGGAGGGAGTGGAGGGGATGGCGTTGCAAAGAGGGTCTCGGGAGTTCCGAGTGCTGCAGGAGATGGTGGACAACCCAGAGATCCAGCGGGAGGAGAGATACGTGCAGTCTCATCGGCTCTTCCACTCCGCCTGTGCTCTCCTGGTGGGGAAGGAGGGGAAAGGGAGGGAGAGATGCGGAAGGAAGGGAGGGAGGGAGGGAGGGAGGGAGGGAGGGAGGGAGGGAGGGGAATAGGGAAGGCAATGGTTGTTTCAGCCTTGTGCTCTTGTTTAACAGCCTTGAGCTCAGTTTGTCTCTCAGGTACATGACGGTTCAACCTCCGCCAAGGTTGTTGCTGTCGTCTGTCTTTACCTCCCGTACGGCACGATGATAGCGGATCGTCTGAAGTCGCGCGACGCGTCTGCGACTGATGCTACGTTCAATTTTTTGGAGCATGTAAGAGGATTGTACAAGTGATGAGATGAAGACAAGGGAGGGGGAGAAGAACAGAGAAGTGAGGAGGAGGAGGGAGGAGGATGGAACTTTCCGAATGAGAGCAGAGGTGGAGCTAAGGCGGTTGTTGAGAGTATTTACAATCGCATGGTAGAGCGTACAAGGTGACTGACGTTAATGTCTCTCAGTCTTGCAGGCTGCTGGGGTTAGCGATGGAGATGGATAAGGTCATTGCAGAAAACTGCGAGATTTCAAGACGATTGAAGGACGATGCAAGCGTGGTAGGAGGAGGAGGGGGGGGGTAAGGGGAGGGGGAGAGAGAGGGAGAGGGAGAGGGAGAGGGAGGGGACTCACAATAGAATTGTCAGAGAGCGAGGAAGCTGTGGAAGAAAGTGAGGATCCTTGTTATGTTGGGTTGGATCAAGACTGCGGGATCGCAACTTTCCCCCAAACCCGACAGCAACCTATCCTTCAGGTTTCTCCTGCTGCTCCTCCTCCACCACCACCTCCACCTGCTGCTGCTCCTCCTCCTTACCACCACCACCACCTCCTCCTCCTTCTGCTCCTGCTCCTCCTCCTCCACCACCACCACCACCACCACCTCCTCCTCCTCCTCCTCCTCCTCGTTTTAACGAGTGTCCTCCTCCTCTTCCTCCTGCTCCTGCTCCTGCTCCTCTCCCTCCTCCTCCATCCTTGCTCCATCTATCCATCTATGTATCCATCCATCTATCCTCCTCTTCTCCCTCCTCCTTCCTTGCTCCTCCTGGTTTCTGAAAGATTTTGTGTGCAGCCGCAAGTGTTTGCTTTGGACGCATCAGTACTTTGTAAAGTGGAAAGGACAACATGCAAAACCTCCTCCTCGAGCGGACCTCACGTAAACGCTCCTCGCTTCCTCCTCATCCCCTTCCTCCTTTCTTGTCGCTTACTTCTTCCTCCTCTCCCTGTCCTTCCTACTTTCTCCCCCTCCGCTCCTCCTCCTGATCTTCCTTACGTTCCTCCTCAGGTCTGCTGCGGTGACTTTCGTCGGTGTTATCATCGGCATCCTCATTCCCTCAAGCATACATTACTATCTCTTCTACATGGATCAGAACCAGCACATGGTCTGCCCGCCCTACCTCTTCCTTCCTTCCTTCCACCCTCGCTCCCTCCGTTCCTCTTTCCGTTCCTCCCCACCTTCCTTCTTCCGTCCCATCCCCTCCCTTCCTTGCTCCTCCTCCCTTCCTCCGTCCCTTCTTTCCCCGTTTCCTCTCGCTCTATTGCTCCCATCTTTGCCCCTATTCTTCTACAACCCTACCGCTCCTCTTCTCCCCCCTATTACTTCGTCCGCATTCTGATAGGATTTCTGCTAACTCCTCCTCCTCCTCCTCCTCCTCCTCCTCCACAGATTCTTATGCTCGGATCTCACGGAGCCTTGGCTACCATGCTGTACGCTGCTCCCGCTTCTCCCTTCGCGCAGGTGGGTTGGCAGGGAGGAGGAGGGTGAACTGAAAGAAAGTGCCCTACAGCCGAGGATGATTCTTCTCGGGCATATCATGGCTCCAGCCATCGCAATCGCCATCGACCATATCACCGTCACTGATGGGCAGGACAAGATGGGAGCTTTCATCCCCCAGGTGAGAGAAGACGAGGGCCGTGACCCTCCTCCTCCTCCTCCTCCTCCTCCTCCTCCACCTCCTGCTCCTTCTCCTCCTCCTCCTCATCATCATCATCATCGTCCTCAATCCGATTGCGTTTTCATCCTGCTCTGGTCCCACTCCTCAACCTGCCTTTCCTTTTTGCGCTCCATATCTGATCCTGTTCTCCTCCTTCTTCCTTCTGACGTCTTGGCAGTGGGTAGCGCAAGCTCTCGTCCCTGCTCTTGCCATCAGCATCATGGCGCTTGCTGGATGTCTGAACCCTCCGGCCGTCGCATGTGCGATCAGCTACCAGCTAGGTAAGAGAGAGGGGAGCATGACAGAGCGAGGAGGAGACGAGGGGGAGGAGAGGAGCAGGTCAGAGGCAGGAGGCACGAGGCACGAGGCACGAGGCACGAGGCACGAGGCACGAGGCAGGAGGTCCTCGAGGACGAGGACGAGGAGAGAACCTTGTGGGCGCGGGATGGAGGGGGCTGGAGAGAGCAACGCAGAGATGCCGAACTTAGCGTGATGCCCAGGGAACCAAGCGATCAAGGACTTGGGATGGTTCTTCATTGTCATGCCCTCGCTGGTCGGCAGCTCCCTCATGGTTGTCATAGCGCTCATAGTCAACAACATGTCTCCCAACCGCCATTACCCTCTCTTCTGGTAGTATGATAGGTCTCTTATTAAAAGCTGTTTCTCTGTACTCCTCCTCCTCCGCATCATCATCTCCATCATCATCATCATCTCCATCATCATCATCATCATCTCCATCATCATCTCCATCTCCATCTCCATCTCCATCTCCATCATCATCATCACCACCACCACCACCACCACCATCAC